TTTGAAAGGAAAGCAGTAGCAAACCACACCCATCTTCCACAAACTGTTAAAGGGTATGTTTCTTCTTAAGATAACCCTTTTATGTGTTATTGAACTTGTCTCATTTTGGTGTTGTGACACTCTGAGCTCAGTAATTGAGCGTGCTTCTCCTTTAGGTATGTGGGTGGTTGGTGGGTGCTCTGGTATAGTTTGCTCCTTCTTTTCTATCAAACGTATATATCGTCTTTATCTCTCCTTCTTCTTTTTTGTGTATCTTACTCTCTCGTAACACCTCTGATCTTCACACTTACTTGACCTAATTATGTTGCAAGTACCATAAAAACTCTTACTGAAACTTTTGTGTATGGGTGGGAAGCTTTGTTCTTTTTTCTTCATGTGGCTTTTTTTTTGCGGAACAATCACCTTTCTCATTTATGTTTCTTACTTTTTCCTTTTGAAATTTAGAGGTGCTTAACTGAGTGGTTAGCAGTTGCTCTGGTGTCGTTTGCTCCTTTCTGATCAAACATTGTTTATCCTTATCTCTCCTACTTCTTTTATTTTCATGTTACTCTCTAGTAGCACCTCTAATCTTGGGCATGTGACCTAATTGTTTTGCTAGTGCCAAAAAAACCTCTTAATAAGCTGAACTAAAGAGGTGTTTATTTCTCAGAAATGAGTGTGTGTGAGGGCTGTTTGTTTGTCGGCATTAGAACGTTTACTCATGTGGGAGCCCTCTTTGGTTATGTAGGCCTAAGTGTTGAATACTTCATTGCGGATGTTTGGAGGGCGCGGCTGGTAGATCCTGCTTCTTTTCTTTCCATCTGTTGTTTTTGTTTTTCTGTCTTACTCTTTCCCTGCACTAACTGACCGTTATTGTGTTAATATCCTTCTCTTTACTCAAACAAAAAAACAAAAAAATGAATGCTCCATTACTCAGGATACAGGCCGTTGACCCAGCGTTATGTGAGAGGAAGAAGGGAAGAAGAAGTGCGGTAGAGAAAACACACCCAAATAAATCTCATACTTTTGTGCATCTGCTGGTATCGCTGATCTTGATCTTGTGAGTGTGTGCTATTCTCCCGCCTATGTAGACATGCAAAGGAGGTGGGGGTGGGGTAGGGGGTTGGGCATCATTGTGTCTTCAGTCTCTTTGTTATTTTTTTTATTCTCCGACCCACTGGATATTTATGGTGTTTGTAAATGAAGCTGTTGATACTGCTGTTTGTTGGCAACAGGTGGCCATACCTTAATTATTAGTGCGTTCCCAGTCAGATGCCAGGAGTGTTTGTTACTGTTGTCTGTTGCAGCATGGCCGTGCCTCTATACTGCGCATCATTTAATTGTTTTAAGAATGATTTATTATGTTTGCTTTGCTAATGGTCTATAGATCTTTGCCTGAGTGAGTGGTTGGCGGGGGAAGTGCTCTGGTGTGGTTTGCTCCTTACTTCCTATCAAACATCTTTCATCCTTATCCCTCCTCCTGTTCTTTGTATGTTACACTCTTGTAAACCTCTAATCTTTGGCTCCTATATGACATATTTGTGGTGCAAAAGTTGTTAAACTTTTACCAAAATTTGACTCTTATCCTCTTTTCCTTTGTATGTTAGTCTTTTGTAACACTGCTAACTTCAGCACAAAACCCCTAAAACTCTTAAAACTGTTATCAAAGTCAGAACTGTTACATATTTTTATTTATGAATGTCTTGTACCATTTAGGAATCTAGACTAAACCGACATCACAATTAACTGCTGCTATTGTTATTATAGTCAAACCTGCTCGCTGTAACGGCCATCTGTATAAGACAGTCACCAGTGCGAACGGTCACTTGTAGAAATTGTGTAATGTTTATAGTGAATATTCATATTAATGGGCCTACATTGTATGAGAAATGGTTTATTTTATTTTAAAAAAATTGATATGGATGTTAGTGGGCTTGATGGTATTCATTTTGAAGAGTGGAATTTTGAAGTTTTGATTCCAATCTAGTCACCTCTGTTGATTTGAGCATGTGGGTTTTTATTTTTGCTGGCTAAGATGTGAGTCTAAGAACAAAAAGAAAGTGTGGGTAAAGATACAAACATTTTTTGTACCTTCTTTTTTTCTGTCTTTCCCTCATAATATGTGGCACAGCACGGCTCTCGTCAATTTTTGGGCATGTAGAGTTATTGGTATCATCTTAAAGCTTGTTCATTATCTTGCTTTGGATAAAAAAATATCCATGTATTTTGAATACAAATTGAGGTATTTGCAAGTGAAGGAGGTGGGGGTCACCTGCTTTCCGAGGTGAAATTTGTAAGAAAATGGCGGGCAAAGATTAGTTATTTTGTTAGCTTGAGAGTCAGTGGAAATGAAAAATTTACATTTGTTGTGCCTTTAACTTTAATCGATTTTCATTAAAATCACACAGAAATGTGTTCTTTAATAGGCATCAAAGGTGTTGAGCCAAAAAACAAAAATTCAATAAAAAAATCACAAACCTACAGAAAATGCCAGGATCTTCTCATTGATTATTTTGACGAGCTTGTGATTTCACCACGCTGCCTCACATGTTATTTTCAAAATTTGTGATAAATTCCTGCTTGTGGTTTGAGAGATGCATCTGATCTGACACTTTTTTTATAATAAACTTTTTTTTCCTCTTCATATTTGACTATTTTGTTAAAGTGGTAACAATTTAAATTCTACGTAGGGCCTACATGAATGTATACATGAATTCTTCCCATTCTTCCCTTGCAGCCACAGAAAATTTCCCACTGGGACAAATAAAGTACTATATCTTGTATGTCTCTTCCCATCTTATATTAATCTTTTCATCATCCTCTATACAACACCATTTTAAAATATTTTTTTTCGTCTTTATTTAGTGCTTTAGAGACGTCAGCACACACTTTTAGCCACCCACTTATGACAACAAAAGCTCAAACGATACGAACAATACTATAGTAATGACCAATGCTTTGCTTTACGACATAGTTTATTCATGTTTTATGTTAATGAACTAACATTAATCATATTTGTCAGGATAATATTTTAATTCAACTGCAATGTTTGGAATTGTTTGTTATGACCTACTGTCTGTCATTTGCATAGTAGGATGATAACAAATTAACCCTTTCAGTAGGCAAAGAATTAAAGAACACATTTCTGTGTGATTTTAATGAAAAACGTTGATTAAAGTTAAAGGCACAAAAAATGTAAATTTTAAATTTCCACTGACTCTCAAGCTAAGAAAATGACTTATCTTTGCTGACCATTTTCTTATAAATTTTACATCTGAAAGCAGGTGACCCCCACCTCCTTCATTTGCAAATATCTCAACTTGTATTCCTGATAAATGGATATTTTTTTACGGCACCTCAGTTGAGGGTGCTACATTAAAATATCTACAATTCAGTATTCAGTCATATATTGATGAATTTATTTGAACACTCACACTATTTGTACTTGGACAGAAAATCACACTTTTATAATGAAAATAAGTAGAAATAAAGCTGGCAAAATTATTGTTCCCAAAACGTCGCTTTTAAAGCGGCGGTCTGCTAAAACACAGAACCAAAAACACTAATTCAGTGGCGAGATGATCCACTGAAATGCGGAACCAAAAGCAACACTTAAGTGACGATCCACAGAAATGTGGAGCCAAAATTGCCTCTGAAGTGACAATCGGGAATCAAAAGAGTTAAATTGAAATGTAGGACCTTATCTGGACCTGAATAGTAGGCTTACCTTATCTGTGTGCAGACCAGACCTATGAGATGACTACAATGATTCAGCATAGCATCAGTGCTGTATAGTTTTGACACACACTTACCGTGATGCATTTTGCTGTTTTCATACTGGAGTTATGGTAGCAGCTCAAGAGTGTCTGACAAGGACTGTGTTTTTTATGATTCATCTTGGGTTGCACTTTCGAAAATAGTTTTAATTACTGTTGGATGGTGTTTCGATATAAGTTCAAATAGAGCATTGCTATACTGAGGGATGCACTTGTCGTTTCAAATTATGTGGTGAATTGGTATCTTTTCACGCCATACTGCAGGAAACTTGACACTGCAGGTAAATGTTAGCCTAATAGAGTTAAATAGTTTCCCGCTCCTAACTCTTTCACTGCCAAATTTTTAAATTTTCTGAATACAGTTTAATTCTTTTCCTGAATTAGACTTTACTAGCATTGTTTTAGGACTCATGGTGGCTTCTTTCAGTTCACTGTTTTATCATCTGTGTATTTTGCTATTACACAAAAAGAGAACCTTGAGGAAGCCAGCACTCATCTCTTCATCATGTGTATTCAGTCGAACCTGGTCTAACGGCCACTTGTATAAGACGATCACTTGTATAAATGGCCACTTCCCATTTCTTCCTTCGAGTATTTTTTTGTCATTATAAAGACACAGTGAATGATGGCCACCTTACTAATACGGCCACTTTTCTCCTCAACAATTGGTGGCTATCTTAGAGAGTTGCGACTGTAATCAAAATGTACAAAAGAGATTCTATTTCTAACCTCCTTGGAATATACTTATCTGTTGTTGACACAGTCAAGCTAAAAAGACAAACAATTGTGTTTATCTTTTAAACTAAGGCAGAAGAGCTGATGAAGCTGCACATTTGTGGCTACGGCTCTGAAAAGAAGCTGCTGTTCTTTCAGTGAAAGAGTTATTTTCACATTTTCACTTCTTACTCAACATATCGTCACTGCACTAGCAAAGTGGCATAACTCAGAGTTGTGCCAAAATGTAACTAGCCTAATGTCTTGTTTAGTGGTACTATCTTTATCTTTTGGTAAAACCATAACCAAAATGCGCTGGCAGTCACAAAAGAAACATGCATGGCAAATTTTACCATCGTTAGATAATAATAGTCTAGACAGTTTTTTCCTTTTATCTCAAAATCAGTAAAAATGAGATGTGCCATTTTGCTAGCGCAATGACGATATTAAATTTTGTGGCTTTCTTTTTTAAAATTTTTTTTGTTGTTGTATAAACTAAAATTTGCTTCCATATTTTTTTTTCACTTTCAGAAAATGTACTGAGCAGTCTCAAGAGCTGTCCCAGGTGCATCTTTGTTGATGTACAGTAACTCTTGTACCGGTGCTTCCCAGTAACAATCAAAACTTGTCAAAGTGCCAGCACTCATAGTCGCTGTTTCGTTTCAGCCATCCACTACCTTAACCCACAGAAATGGTGAGTTTACGGTCCCCAAGTGCCGTCTCGGTACTTCTCAGACTGGCCAGGCAGCATTCAAATGATATCCACTTCCAGTACCGTGCCTTACAGAACATGGCATCGCTTTCTAATTCTAGAGGGCGGGGTAAAAATTCCTACAGTCGTGGCGCCCACCCAAAGATAGCCGCAGCTGCTGCACGAAAGGTCACAGCTAGCTCCCCTTCGTCTGTTTCTTCCCCGCAAGTTGTTGTCCTTTCATCCCTCGCCATGTCAACGTCATCGAAGCAAGTTGTGGCGACTTTGAGCCATCGACAGTCGCAGAGGGATAGGATGTTGAGAAGCAACACAGGAGGAGTTTTTTCTCAGCATCTACGCAGCAACGGTACTGGCCGACCTTTCTCCACTCTGTCACACGGCAGCCGGCAGCAGAAGCATGAGGCTGGTGTGACTTCCCCTCTACCTCAGGTCAGGAGCTGGGAGTCTGTCTAGTTTCACTTTGTCTACAGATTCTTGATAACAATAATAGTAATAGTCAGTCTAGTTTCACTTTGTCTACAGATTCTTGATAACAATAATAGTAATAGTCAAGATCAGCTCTATAGCACCCACTTCCTGGTGGCTGTAGATGTTTCACACAACAAAATAACGTTTCAACAGCTTACACAATGATATGTTTTATGCGTACCTGTTCATTTATTGCGCAACAATCCTTTCAAATACAGGCGCCTGTAGTATATCATGTTCTGACAAAAAACACATACCTGAAAAAAACATCACTGTGGCTGCTGAACACGCTTGTTTTTAGAAGAGGAATCGGACTAGCTAAATATAAGAATAGAATAAGGTCTTCAGACCAGTTTTAAATGTGGTCAGTGTAGGTGCCTTTCTTAAATGATACAGCGGAAGGCAATTTTACTCAAAGGAAGCTGTTGGGGAAAAAGTTGAACCTCCAGTTTTTAAAAAGAAAGATATTGTGGTGCTAGATCATCAAAACACTTACAGTACATTACTTCAACTTTCATAGCCGTAGAATTGAAGCAAGTTTTTTTTGGTACGCATACAAAAAAATGGGCGGGCAAACTAAGGAAATTCATATTGTCTTGTAACTTGTCGAAAATTTCTAAAGCGCAAGTTTTGGTGTGAAAGGTTCTGAATCTGGGAGTTTACCATCTGAAGCTCAGGGACATGGGTTCTAAAATTTTAACTACTGCTGCTCTAAAGTGTAGGCCTAATCATTGTTGTACAAAATCCTGTTTAATTCCATTTTAAAGTGGTGTTTATAAAATACTGTTAGCTTCATTATTGATCATGTAAAAACATATAAGAGTAGTTTTCTTTTACTGCAGTCTGGGTTAAAAAGTATTGATTTTTAATTTTATCATGTTGATATTCTGATACTTTATTCTTTCATATTTGGGATTTTGATTTCATTCATTTATAGTACTTGTACACAAGTCTTTTGAAATTTTTACAATACTTTGATGTATAGATTTTCTACTTTTAGCCCACATGGTACTCTCTTTTTATCTGCTTGTTGTGCTTTGCTGGAGGTCGGAGGGCACCACTGATACATCCTACTTGTGCTGTTCCTTCCTGATCTTGTTCAACTCTGTCTTTCTCTTTTCTGGCACTTCATGACAGGTATGGTGTATATTATATATGCTTCTTATTAATCAGTGTCCATTTTTGTTGTTACTATGTATGTTGAGACCACGTTGTATGCTGTTTTTGTGTCTGCCTGCCCATTCGATGCCAAAAATTCCTTTGCTGTAAACTTTTCATCACTCAATTTCAGGTAGAAACCCCGACAGGAGATGAATACATCTCTGAGCTTTGCAACAACCAGAAGGCTTTCAAGGGTCTAGAGACAGATTTCCCTTGCCTGACTAGAGTGTGAGTGTCCTGAGTAAAAGTAAAAAAGTAAAAGACTTCTTAACTACCTCCCCCCCTCCTCCCCCCAGGCACACACAAACACAACCATTCATACATACCATTGCCACACACACACTCAAACATGCACACACGCACACACATGCACCCGCATGCACACGCACACATACACACGCACACACACACACACAAAGCACCTAGGACATGCTGTAAAGTGTTTATATTCGATATATAAATCCATTTATTATAATTGTTGTTATTAAAATACCCATTCATATTTATTTATACTTGTGTTCATTTCTTTACGAACTCCTTCAAGTACTACTAATTACTTCTTCAGCAAAACCTCTGGACCAGAGCCAGAGTATGACAACATCACCAAGGGATACAAGCTTTTCAGCTCGGAGCAGCCCTTCTCCCTGAGCCTCAACGAGGGCAAACTGCCGCGGCTCGACGTGGCTTATGAGACCTGGGGCGAGCTCAACGAGGACCGCAGCAACGCCGTGGTGATCCTGGCGGGCCTCTCTGCCAGCTCGCACGCTCGCAGCTCCGTGGTAAGATAGGATAAGATAAGATTTGATAAAATAAGATAAGATGAGAGAAGATGATATATGATAAGATGAGATATGATAAGTTAAAATAGTAAGATAAGATTAGATTAGATGAAATAAGATAGATAAAATAAAATAAGATAAAGTAAAATAAAACATAAGATAAATCTTGATTTGTTCAGATGCAGACACATTGGTTTAGTGTTTCACCTCCCTCACACACTCACACACGCACCCATGCACCCACACACACACACACACACACACACACACACACACACACACACAGACACACACACACACACACACACTCACACACACACAGACACACACACACACACACACACACACACACACACACACACACACACACACACAGACACACACACACACACACTCACACACACACACACACAGACGCATACATACACACGCACACACGCCCACACAAACACACACATGCACACATACACACTCAAACACATACACACAAACACACACACTCACACCCACACACAAACACACACCCACACGCACACAAACCCTCACACACAGACACACACACACATAAACACTCACACACACATACACACACACGCACAGATAGGGTTCAGACTGTTTTCCCTGTGTGTGTTTCTAGGACAACATGCGTCCGGGCTGGTGGGAGAAGTTTGTGGGCCCTGGCTGTGCCGTGGACACCAACAAATTCTTTGTTATCTGCCCCAACAACCTTGGTGGATGCTACGGCACTTCGTAAGTGCAGACTAATCTTAACTCTTTATTTTCGGAATCAATAACAACAATTTTATTTTCGGCAACCCGGCTCTCAGCAGTTCATGGTCTGTGCCAGTGAGTCGCTGACAGTGGCTCTGGCACATTCCTTTACGACGGCTTTGACATCAAATTACTTTTCGACAATTGCCAAAAACAGGTCTCTTTTATATAGACTTCATTAATTAGATGAAGAACTATCAAAATAGGTTCACTTGTTTTGATATAATGACCTATTTAGCGACGCTTTTTGTGATTTTTAAAATTTATTACCAAAGAAGGGGCATGGCATAGTGAGTTTACCCCCCCCCCCCCACAGAGATAGAGTTAACCCTTTGAGCCCCTGACCTCCTGAGGCTACCGTGCCTTTCTGCCTGAGCTCTTGAGCGATTCACGTCTTCATTCATATCTTTGTCAGAATCCCATTCCATATCCCACTCAGGGTAATCCTCGATATTACCAGCATCTAATTCAGAAAGATCTTCAAAATAATCAATAATGTCCTGTGTAGTAAACACTGTTTTCTGTGCATGTTTTGTCCCAAGTAGGCCTGTTTGGGGATTGGGTCACGCTCACCGTTGTTTGTGTGGCTAGGCACTCGGATTATTTTATATCTGCTTGCAGTCTAGGGCTGAAAGGGTTAACAATCTATTATATATTTCATGTAGAACAACTAGATGTATATTTTGCTTCGTACTGGACAAGTTTGACTGTATTAGTAATATAAAACCTTCTTTCCTTGAGAACAAGGTTTTATTTTCAATGTTCTAGATATAATTTGTGATTCTTCTGTAGTGTTTGGTATTTTATTCTTACTCACACACACAATAAAAACATCAACTGATCTTTATCCTTTTTTCCTTTTCGACAGGGGACCCTCTTCCATTAATGTGTTGACAGGAAAGGTAAAGAGAAGAACATTTTTTAAATAGAATTATCTGCAGGTGATTGGCGAGTGCTTTGCTCCTTCTCTCCTATCAAACGTCTATTGTCCTGATCTCTCCTTCCTCTTTTTTTGTGTTTGTTACTCTCTTGTAACACCTCTAATCTTTGACACTTATATGACCTTATTGTGTTGCAATTGCAGTAAAACTCTTACTGAAACTAAAATTAAAACAAAATTAAAAAAAAAAAAAAAAAATTTAAGGGGGGGGACACTTGTACCCTCTAAATCAAAGATGTATAGATGCTTGAAAATGATAAAAGTACAGGTAGCACCTGAGAAAAACGCCCTCAAACCTGTCATGATAATATATTTGTTTCCTTTTCAATCAAAGGGAAGTAAGGACTGAAATATTTTATTGTCAATTTTCAGTGCCTGTCCCCTTGACGATCTTCCATCGCAGTGTTTCTGTTCGGTATGACAGTGCACCACCTGTCCAGTCTGACAATTAAAAAAATTTTTTTTGATAGTCTACTAGTCACCAACAATCAACAACCCCTGACCTTTACTAAACCGAAACACTAGTGCTGAACAATTTTCAGAAATGGCTTATAGCAGTTGAAATGTGTGCTACATAGAAGTTTGCTTTGAGAGTTTGTGGACTCTAACCCACCCTTAGCACTGTGGTGTTGTGGAAACCTTTGTAATTCACTCTTTGTTGTTTAATCAACCTTTTTTTAAAAATTGTAAATCACGGCACGGGTTGGCCCAGACAGACCGGCAAGGTGGAAGCAGTTTGCCTCCTATATGATTTAAATAGTGTGAATGGAGTAAAACTTCACAATATACAACCGTTTTTTTGTTGTTGCTTTCCTTTCATGTTCATGTCTATTTTCATGATTATAGGACACAAAACTAGTAGGTTTTATTCTGCTGTTTCTGTCTGTCAGTCCATCTGTCTGTCTGTCTGTCTGTCTGTCTGTCTGTCTACCTGTCTATCTCTTCCCCACCACTAAATGACTATTATTTTGTATATATGGATGTGTTTCTCTTTACTCAAACCCAAACCCCTCACCTTCCCCAGCCATATGGCACAACGTTCCCCATCATCGGTGTGGTAGACATGGTCAATGCCATTTTCATGCTGCTCGACCACCTGGGCATTGATAAGGTGGGTGTAAATATATATTTTATCATGTAAAAATATACATTATCATTTCTTTTACTCTTTTTTATTCCAAGAGTCGTCCACAGGTAATGAAATTTTGAATGTGAAGGTGCCGTTATTGCATTTGCACAGTACCGATAGTTAAAGAAGTAAAGGTAAACCTCTCAGGACCACAAGTTTTGGAAATTATCCTCTATGTAGTTGACACACCTGTGAAATGTAAGTTTTACTGCCTTCACTTTGCATTTGTAAAAAATTGCAATTTACAACTTTCATTATTTTACTTTTAAAAACATTTTCAGGCATTTTCTTAGACTGTTCCACCATGTTCAGTTTACAGTCATGTTGAATGTTCTCCTTAGGTAAAAAATTACTCTTTCTTAACTATCAAACATCTATCGTCCTTATCTTTCCCCCTCCTTTTATGTATTTGTTACTCTCTTGTAACACCTCTAATCTTCGGCATTTATATTACTTAATTGTGTTGTAAAAATGTAAGTGCCTTAAAAGTTTACAAAAACAAAGTTTAAAAATTTATATTTTTTCCTTCTGTTTTTTTGTCCATAGCTTTACGGTTCCGTTGGGTCATCTCTTGGAGGAATGCTGTCTGTGCAGTCTGCTGTCTCCTATCCTGAAAGAGTTGGCAGGTCAGTAAGCTTTGCACGCCTGAACGAAAAAACGAAAGACGGACAATAGGCCTACACTATTTTGGGTGCAATAGATTTCTCTTATTAAACAATTCAGAAATGATTCTATGTGATTTTATTTTATTCTTGTGTTCTGTTAATTTTGTGGGATGGATTTTAGACTGAATGATTCTTTGACTTTGGTTCCAGGCTCAAAATTGTCACTTCAGACGTAGAGTCCTTTTCTGAGGCTAACTCAAATAATTGTAATTAGATGGACATTGCGACCTCAGAGCTTTCTTGTCGTATCTCCATTATACTGAAAATGTGATGTCTTCTTAAGCTCATTCTTTGTTATGAACTGTTTTCACTGCTGAAAAAAGGGAGATACGACGAGAAAGCACCGAGGTTGTGACATGCTGGCATCTGTGTTGTTGAGAATATAATAAGGCTTATATTTTTAGGGTAAAATAAGTCGAAGAAGGTTTGTACTTTTTCTGTTATCAAGTTTTGCCCTTCAGTCTTTTGATGTGTCAGGATCTTTAGACAAGCATGAAACAAAATACTGTGTAAATGTCTAAGACAACCTCCCATTTAAAGGAGAAAAGCGCAGTGTCATCTCATTAAAATGTGAAAAAAAGTAAAGGCTGAATTGGAAGTGGCAGTTTGTACAGACGACTGTTTTTTACTGGTGGCTTTTAGGACAGGTTCGACTGTATATATTTCTTAAACAAGAAATTTTTTACCCTCAATCAAATTTTGCCATTAGATACTTGAACTTACTTCTGGACTTTGGGCACTACTGGTAGCCTGTCTGCGTGTTTCTCTCTTATAGCTTTGCTGAAAGCTTCAAGATATCGACATGGTAGCAAGAAAACTGCACCTTTTAAGAAAATGATCAGTGTTTACTTTCATTGAGTTGTATCTTTCTGTGTCTGTCTGTCTGTTTTAATACTGGTGTTTTACATCCCAATTAACATAATTTATATAATTTAGAAAGCAGGCTTGGACCTTGTCTATCAAGGACAATCCAGGCTGAGAGGTATACAGTGTCTCAGTAGAAAGACGGAGACAGTGGATAAAAATTTTCCCTACAAGGAAATCAAACTCGTGTCCTCTGTGTGTAGTGAGGAAGTGCCTATCGGCTACCCCAGAGAAGCCTGTTATGTTCTCCTTTTTTTCTCCTTTTTACTCAAATTTTTCGTTTCAATTTTTTCCCTAATACTACTAGCGAAGTGAATTTCACTTTATTTTTTATTGTACAAATTTTTCCCATTAGAGGAAATTGTTACTTCCTCCCAGCTTGACTCCGCCTAGTAACAGAAATATGCAATGTTTGACCTTCGATATGAGATACGTGCACAACCTATACTTTTTTCATTATGGAAACTTCACTCAACATAATATGAGTGTTTTATGTGATGTGATATAGGCCAATTGCCTCAAACACTGAATAAACTTATATACTTACTTCCACTACCAGGCTAATCACCATCTCCTCGTGCGCCCAGTCACACCCATCCTCCATCGCCATGCGTTACCTACAGCGTAAGTGCATCATGTGCGACCCCAACTGGAACAAGGGCCACTACTATGACGGACCTTACCCGAAAGTTGGGATGAAACTGGCTCGGTGAGTATGTCTATGATCTGTATGATGCTTTTCCTTGAAGATAGATTCGTATTAGATGGTGTCTGTTGTAGATCGTGGATAACTTTTTTGGACTACAAGGTGTAGCACAATGATAATAGTAATGGTAATAATTATAATGATAATAATAATAATAATAGTAAATAAGTCATGATAAAGATCAATTGTACTTTAGTGATCCTCGTTGGAGAATTTGGAATATAATGATGACATTTATTGTGTACATAAATCCATAGATCTGTAGACAAACACACAGGTTCACTCCAAACAGGCTATTGCTGGTTACTACTGTGCAGCACCTTGGGTTTCTTTTAGCTGGGGTTATTTTGTCGTGCTCAAAGACACTGAGGCTGGCTCAGACTTTACTTGATGGAAAGGAAAATGAGGCTTCAGCTTAATAAGTTAATGTCAGTGGCCTATTTTTATCTTAACCAAGCCTACCCTTACTTATGGAAATCCTGTTGGTGAAACAGTGTGTGATGCTGGTGACCTCTAGAGTTGTTTTTTTGTATAAGCTTGTTCAGGCAGGTTTGAAAGGTAAATAAACTTTAACTTGAGATTCCCTTGGATTCCCTGTGGGTGGTTGGCGGGTGCTGCGGTATGGCTTGCTCCTTCTTTCCTATCGAACATCTGTCGTCCTCATCTCCCCTCCTTCTTTCATGTGTATGTTACTGTCTTGTAACACATAATCTATTCTTCAGCACTTATATGACCTT